ATTTTGTATACCACTGTCTTCTGACCTTTGGTGTAGAGCTTAGATAGAGTTATTACCTTAGCACCAGGTCCGGATCTACAAAGTTCAGATTCCTCCAGGTGGGTGTTGGTTGGATCTGGTTGCTATGCTCCACTTCTTTCTACTGCAGCTGTTAGATTTGAGTCCTTTGTGTCACTCTGGCAAGATGTTCTGCTCCTGAGTCAGCTGGGTGGGTCTTGTCTCCAGCCTCTTTGCCGGGAGTTCTGCTGAAAGGTTCCACGCTGGTCCTGCACTCTGGGTCGAATGAGGATCCAGTGGGCCCCAGGCGGTCTCATTCACACACCAGGCCTGTGCTCTGGGTCTATTCAGGATCTGCTGGCCCTGTGTGGTCTCACTCACATACTGGGCCTGGGCTCTGGATCTGTTCAGGATCCAGCATCTCACTCATGCTGAGCCTGTGCTCTGGTTCTATTCAGGATCCGCGGACCCTGGGCGGTCTCACTCACACACCGGGCCTGCGCCCTGGGTCTATTTAGGATCCGGCGGCCCCAGGCAGTCTCCTGTTTTTCTTCTCTATACCTTAAAAATAATCTATCTGTTCACCAGATTATAATTTTATTATGAAAGATATTTATGTAAATGTTCCTTAATAATTTTTAAGTTATTTATAGTTATTAAAGGCTATTTATTAAAAAAACATTTTCAGGCCAGTCATGGTGGTATGCAAATGCTACTTTCAGTAATTTCAGATAAAGATATATTCTTTTAAAAATTAATATGTTAACATGTGCTTAATTAAAAAGTTCACAAAGAAAAAGGTTTTTTTTTTTTACTATAATCAGTTTTTCTCTTGCATTCTCTTTCCTTAGTGGTCATATGCTTTAGAAAAACCCAACACTGGAAGCATATTTAATATTGCTTGGTCAATTGATGGCACTCAGATTGCTGGAGCCTGCGGAAATGGGCATGTTGTTTTTGCTCATGTGGTGGAGCAACGTTGGGAGTGGAAAAATTTTCAAGTGACATTAACTAAAAGAAGAACCATGCAGGTATGATTGTGCTCCAAGGCCTTTTTTATATGTATTTCTTCTCACATTAGTTCATTATACAGAATTACTGTGGTAATTGTATTTATAGCTTATAAGAATTCAGCCATACTTTCTACTAGTCACTTTTCATGATGTGTAGTACTATACTATTAGTCACTGTTTATGACATAAAATGAGAACAGTGCATTAAAGAGAACCCAAATGCCCATAGTTATTTTTGTTACAGTTTTAGGACAGGTTATTGGAATTTGAAGCATTTAGGGAGTATGTGGATTCAGGTAAGGAAGTCTGAGGAAATTGTAACATTGGAACAGATTCATTTTAACTCTGGAGCTGACTCCGAAGCAGGCCTAACCTCCTAGTTATTGATAGGATTGCATTGTTTTACTTGATTTGTAAATAATGCCTGTTCAGAATAACCTGGGGCAAGTAAAAAAATGGGAAAATGGTGGAAGTTGTTATCAGAAGTTAGGAAGTATGAGCAAGGAAAGATACCTTTCCTCATGGTTCATGGCTAAGAAGCTATGATAATAGATTAATAAGAGAAAAATACTTAGATATGTTTAACATAAATTTTATGTGATAGATGACCCAAAGAAACACTTAAATCTGTGTACATTTATGTTAGGTTTGATGAAGAGTGGGCAGTTATAGAGAGGACAAGAAAGGTATGTTGTAATGGTAATAAATTAGGTAACACCCAGCAGGGCCCTTTTGTTCTGTGTCCTTCTATTTCAGGATAAAGGTGTGCCTTCCCTCTAAGTAGAACGACACTTCTCACATGAGGTTCTTATAACCTGCTTCAGGGAAAGATCAGAAATTCCTTCCTAGGTTTTATGAACTGCTTCAGAAGAGAAGATCACAGGGAAGGTCAGGCTGATCTTCCTGCTTCTTCTGTTTTCTCAGATTTCTCCAGCTTAAAATATTCATAATACTGCCATAATATTCACAGCAGTGCCCTATTTTGGGATTAATGTGCAATTCAAAGTGAAATACTTCACAGATGAATATAGAGAGATTGAAACATGGCAGTGAGAGATGAAGGAAATATTTACTGGTAGGGGAACAGTAGTTAATTACCTACTCAATTTGAAGTTTCTTAAGGGCATAGGTGCTATATTTAACTCACTTTTGCCTCCTGTAGACCTTCCACTAGGCCATTACCTTGCATATAGTGAGTGTTCCATATATGTTAAAAATTAATTGAAAAAAGCATGAGGAGTAGGCCAAAGATAAGTTAACCACCACAAATCCTATGTTGAAGATAAAGGAACTCTTCTCGTCCTTCTTACGTCTTCTCAGTTGCTTCTATCATCAGTATTCATAATTCTTATACTTAGTTGAAAACATGATTTCATGGGCAAGTCTATTTGAACATTGTTAGTCAGAGAATCCAGATTTCTAAACTTGAACATGTTTACAAAATTCATGATAATTTTCATTATTATCTTTTGATTTATTTTTTAAAAATTGTAAGACTGTATTTGAAAAATTCTAAACACACATGAAGTGGTTTTTCTTTTTTGTTGTTGTTGCTTTGTTTTGTTTTGATACAGGAAATCAAACTCAAGACCTTGTACTTGCCAGGCAGGTGTTTAAGCTGTCAAGCTATGTCCTTGGCCCTCAACACACAGTGGTATTATGAATCTCCAAGTGCTCATAGCACAATCCCAGTTGTCATCAATTCATGATCACCTGTGCCCCATTGAAAGCCATGTCTATTTTTTCCCTTTTCTAGTTGTTTTTGAGAAAATTCATACACATTGTGTACATTGTCAGACATCATCTGTACAAAGCTCAGTGTAGGAGCTGGGGATGGAGCTCAGTGGTAGAGTGCTTGCTTAATATACATGAGACACTGGACTTGCTGTTACACTACAAAAAAAAATCAGTATATACAGCTAAAAGATGAAGACTTTTTGTTTTGACATAACCGTAGTGCTATTATTCTACCTTAACAAAATAATTCCTTAGAATTATCAAGTATCTACAAAGTGTTCCGAAGTTCACTTGTCTCTTAGTGATCCCTGCATCACAATTTTGTTTCATTGAATCACAATCCAAATGAATAAAGCGGGCTGATATATTTTTTAAAGCCTGTTTTCATCTGTAGCTTCCCTGGCCATCTCGTTTATAATCCCTGGTGGTTTATTTGCTGAAGAAACCAAATGACTTATATACACTCTGCAAGCCCTCAATAACTGAGCTATATCACGATCCCCACCATGGTGTGGATTGATATGTCCCTCTCTTCCAAATTGCCTGCATATCATAGTTGAATCTAGATATTGATGTAAATATATATCTTTTATTTAATCTGGGAACTAAAACATGGTTTATATATTGTGTCTATGACAAAGAATGAATTGTGACTTCTAAGCAACTGATTTGGGACATAATTTTTATATTCGGCTAGTACATAGGAGCTAGCTGATATAGTACTGCTAAAAATGAATTCTAGTCTTAATTACAGAAATGCCCAAAGATGAGAATATATTTAGAAAGAGTTTTCTTTCAAAAACGAAAAGGAATCATCCTAGTGATTTTAAATGAGTAAAGATGAACTGTGAAGGTTTTTAAATGACTTATTTTATCCAAATTGTACTTAATGTTGGTTTCTTAATTTTAGAACAAAAAAGCCATATTTATAAAGGGATTTTACATCAATAATTATAAAAGATTTGTTTCCTTTATTGTTAAATTGGACCTATTCAATTTTTTTCTTAGATTAATTGCATTCACTCATTTAATAGATATTTATTGAATCATTCCTATTTGCCAGGCATTGGGCTAACCCAGTGGTGGCAAACCTATGGCACATGGGCCACAGCAGCAGAGTCCTCTTTGTTACCTTGAGAGCCATGTCACCCCAGCAGCTAATCACCAGATAATACCTTTTTTCTATACTAAAACCTCAGTATTGAGGTTTAATTGAAGTGTTGGCACTTTGCAATAAATAAGTGGGATTTGGCTTGCAGTTTGTGCAGTCAGTCCCTAGCAGGTTCGCCATCACTGGTAAGCCATAGGGAATGCAGTAATTAGTGTAAGATTTAGCTCTGGTTCTCATGGATGGTCTAGGTTAGTTTCTTGAAAATCTTCTTTTAAAAGTTTTTTTAAAAATATGTCTGTCAGACATGTTTGTCTGTCTGTCTATCAATGTATCTGATACAGGGTCTCACTACATAGCTCAAACTTATAGTGATTCTTCTGTCTCAGCCTCCGCAGTGCTGGGATTATAGGCATGTGCTACCACACCTGGTTTCAGTAGCCAGCACAGCAAGCTCAGGGTTCCAGGCTGGCATGGCATGTGGTACCTAGGATCCAACCCAAGTCCTTGTGCTTGCTAGGCAAGTGCTTAGACTTTCACTTAAATGAGAAATGAAAAAATAAAAAAGAAACTTATTGATTTATTTGAAGTCTGAGATTACAAATTTGAGGTACTGTTGTTTTAGAAGCTTGAATGGTGTCAAAAGAACACTTTTTCTTCCTCTCTCTTCTTCTCTGTAATTGATTTCATTTTCAGAGAAGCTTTTTCTATTTTGTGGCTTTGGTAGCTCTAGGCCTGCATTCTACCACTTCAAGAAAAGAGTACATTTCTTCCTGGTAATTCTAGCAGGCATCTCAGCCTTATAGTTCATATGTTAAACCTGGGTTTAAAGTGTTTGGTTGAAGGAAAGTGGGAAAGAGAGTCAACTTCCTTTTTGAACTACTCTAATGGAAGGAATAGTTGCCCAAAGGAAAATCACAGTAGATTTATTAGAAATGGTACAATTTGATTCTGGGCAGACAAGAATACCACTGTGGTCTGTTCTTTGGTTGTCTAGCATTTATACTGTATCAATTCATTGTTGTATAATCACCCCATAATTTAATGGCTTGAAACAACACCGTTGTCATTTCCATGAGTCAGGAATTCAGGCACAGATTATTAGCTCCTTTGGCTCAGACTATCTCAATGCTGCAGTGAAGGTAGTAGTTAGCACGGCTTTAGTTTTATGTTAATGTTCAAAGAAGGGAAGGTTTGCATTCAAATTTATGATATGAATGTTGTCAGAATTCAGTTCACCATCGTCTTTTGCACTAAGAGTTTCAGTTTCTTATTGGTTGGTGATGGGAGATGTCCATCAGTTCCTTGTGTAAGGACTTGCCATATGGCAGCTCCCAACTTGGCAGCTTGCTTTATCAGAACAAGTACATGGGAAGAGCCTGCGAGGGCAAGCAAGACATAGGTCATGCTTTTTTTTTTTTAACCTGAAGTTAGAAGTGACATCTTTTTTTTTTTTTTTTACCATGTTCTGTTCAATAGAAGGAAGCTACCAGGTCTAATCATGAGCAAGTAGATTTATAAAGGGTACAAATTGTAGAAGGCCAGCACCTTGTCACATATACATACCCATTGTTCTTGTGAGTGGGATTCAGAAATGCACTACTTAATGAATTCAACATTCCATATATGGTTAAAAAAATCCTTTCCCTAAAAGTAAATCATCCAAACAATTACTGCATTGAGATCTTTTAAGTCTGGTGTGTGAAAAACTATAAATATGTATTTTAATTTTTGTCCTTGTTTCCTTCTTCCCATATTGCAAGTTTACAATTATGTGTTTCAACTCATTGCAGTCATTATTCTGTTCATAATGTTCCATCTTTGGACACTTGCTCTTGCATTCTTTTAAAATGATTTCAGTAGCTTGCTTGCTTTCTGGTGTGACAAAATGCTCCAGGCTTCTTTTGTACATTATTTGTCATCCAGACTTGGAACCAGCCATTTTCCTAGGAAGGCCTCACTTCCGTTGGGGGTATTGTTATTTAGAGACCACAGTGAGGTGCTACATGTGCTCCTTGCTGCTGATTTGATCATTATTCCTAGACAGACTGTTTCTGTTTTTGATAAGATAAAAGTACATTATGAGTTTATACTGAGGTTTCTACATTTACATTTGTACTGTTGATATTTTTACTTGTGACTCTTTTCTAAAGACATTAATGATGCTATTTAT